TCTGCAGGTCAAAGAAGTCCAATTTCCAATTTAAGCATTGTCAAAAGTCAGCGCAAGCCCAAAAGGAGAGCATTGACCAAAACAAAAAGCCCAACAGCAGGCCCGCGGTGGCGCCCTCGTGAGAGGGAGGTCTCAACAGCAACGTGATGGCAAATCTAACAGCAAGCTAAAATATCTGGCCAGCATCATTAAAAATAATAATAATAAAATCTATGAATCCAGTGAATTTATCCAGCAAGATCAAAACAACAAAGATTATTTCCCGAAAAAAAAACATTCAAAATCTGTTTCGAAACCGTAACAGCAGATCCGAACGAGAAGAGCAAGTTTTAAAGAAGAAGAATAATGAATTTCCAAATCCATCATCAAAAAACAAACAAATCCAATATCTCCCAAACGAAACCGTGAATCAAGATGGAAAAGAGTTAAAATCCATGAAAACCTTCCAAAACAACAATCGACAGCATCAACAGAAAGGGGAAGTTTTTAAGAAAAAACTTTATTGCATGTTCTCAAAACCGACTATAAGAATGAGAAGAAGAGATATAGAAAGCTCAGATCGAAAAAACAACCATCATATCCAAAGACTAGATGACGAAATCACCATTCCATAAAAAGAGCTAAGATAAAAAAAAAACATCATCATCGCCAAGAAAAGCTCAGACGTTCTTTCGGGTCATCATCGCAAGGCAAAAAAATCAAAGCCACACAAAACAACCGCAAACCCTCATCGCAAATACCCGCAAGTCGTTCACGAAAACTGAAAGCCCAGACATCACGAATCCAAAAGGCCAAAAACGAGACTCAAACGACGAAGGAGATCACATCGTTCATCATCGTCCTCGATCATCCGAAGCCAAAACTGCAACCGTAAGTGTTTTGGTGGGGCTAAAACATTGTTAATTTGCATTTTTTATGTTTGTTTCATGTAGGAGGAGGACAGAAATTGCTCAGAGAAAGAACCAAAATGGCGAGGAGAGAGTAAAAAAATGGAGGAAGAAGATGAAAATCGAAAGAAGAAAGAGAGAGATGGGAGAAAGAGATAAGCGGCAGGCAGAATGTGTGAAATGGGGGATTAGGGTTCTTTTTTTATTATTTATTTGTATGATTAATTACCTGCGTGCACGCCCACGGTAGTAACCGCGAGCCATCACCATGCAACCACACGATCCCTGCTGATCACAATCGCATGCTAGCCCTTGGGCTTCCACCATACACCCTCGCCTCCCTACCGCACACGATCACGCGCATCTGCCCTCTAACCACCATTTAATTTCTTTAATCTGCATTAATTAATCCATTAATCTACCACTTAACCAACTAATCATTTCACTTATTATTTAATTAGTTAATTAGCCTATTAATTAACCTTTCAAAATAACTTATTTAATTTACTATTTATCTAACAACTCAATTTTAGTTTACTATTAATTTTTTTTCTTCATCTAATTAACCTTTTATTAAAATAATACAATTATCCTTTTTTTAATAAAACTATTTCATTTAGTTTAGTTTAGCCCCTTTAAAAAAGGAATTTATAATAACAAAAAAAATTTATTCAATAAGAAAACATTTTTTTCATTTAATTTAATATAACTTTTTATTTTATAAAATCTCTATAATAATATTAAAAACTTTTTTTCTTAAAACCCATTTTATTCGACAATTCAGTATTTAGTTACATTTATTTCTATCTAGAACTTAATTAGTGTATAATCTAATTTCACTAAAATAAATCCCCCCTTTAAAATAACTTTTCTTAAAATCGATCTCCCGGAAAATATAATCAACACGCGATGCTTCATCTCTATCCGTCTAGCTCCGTTTATTTCGATCTTCGCATCTCACGCTTGTCTGATCTTTAGCATTTCCGTTGTATGAATTTATTTATCATTGCCTTTCTTTTACCGTTATTTATCGCATTGCATAATGTCCAATGGAAGAACCCGTGTATGACTTTATTAAGTTGTACACGTTGCATCTCATCTTGCACCATTTTCCCCACTTGATCCTTGATCATTTTCAAGTCGATCAGCTTAAGCTTAGATCCTACCTCTTAAGGAGAACCTTTTTCTTTTATCTTTTACAACATAGAAAAAAACCATACAACTCAATCAAACTATTCTCCCATTAGAGAATTAGACGTGAGTCATCTTGACCGTCGAGATGTAGTTCTCCTGCCCCATAACAATACAATCGAGATATAAGATCTTTTCCGCTTAAGAGTGATAGCGGCATACTCGTCGATGAAATCCGAGTTTCTGAACCCTTCTCTCAAGATGATGCAAAGACCATCTCCTACAAGTTTTGGTGGTTAAGTCGAGTGTTCTCCCTTAAGATGACGACTCGTCTTTTCTCCTAGAACCAATCAATCAACAAACCTTATCCCTTTGGAACTTTGACCAACAGTCAATGATTCCTCAAACCCTTTAGGGAAACTACAAATACTCTGATTCCATTCTCGTCGGGATATGTAGGCACAAGATGCAACATCTTGGCGAGTATACTTAGAAATAAACCACTAGGTCTTTCACCCTTAAGAAGATAAACCTTAGCAATAAACAACATAAAACAAGAGGTTCTTGTAGAGTACTACAGAAACTTAGGATGCTAGCACCTTCCCTAAGTTTAACCAACCCCGAACCTTTAACTCTCTAGCTTTTGCATTTGCATTGCATTGTGGGTAATTCGATCTTTTTCCCTTCCTTTGGACAAATAAAAGACCGGTAGTGAGCCAATGAATTAAGATTTAAATTAATTAATAATTTGACATTCAATTCTCACTGCGACAACTTCCACCAACCATGTTGATTTTAGTGATCATAGCAATGAATTGCTCATCAGTCAGGTTAAACTGTGCATTAGAGTCAACAGGTTTAGGCCTGCTTTTATATATCTTAGCCATATGACATGGCTTTCCACAATTAAAGCAAGTGAAATCTGGAGCGTCATTTCTTTGAGTTTAATTCGGTTCACAATATTGTGGTTCTGATTCTTTAATGGTTTTCCCGTAGGCTTCAGAACCGCACCGAATCTCTTTTTGTTGTTAGAAACAAATAAGACTTCATCCTTCTGATCTTGTCTTCTAGATTTATCTTCAACTCAGAGGCGAGTGATTAAACTCTCAACCAGGGGACAGTCTGTCAATTATCACAACAATCTAAAATTGTTCATCGAGAGGCATACCTTCAGTTATGATTTCATGAGCAATCTTCTGAATTTTGTGGCTTTGAGCTTCCACAGACTTTTCATCTGCCATCTTATAATTCAGGTAGTGGCTGAGAACATATTTCTTTGCACTTGCTTCTTCAGTATCATATTTCTTCTGTAGAGATTCCCATACCTGTTTAGCAGTGTTACAGTTACTGTAGTAATCGTATAGATCATCAGCAAGGTTGTTCAAAATGTGGTTTTTGCACAGATAATCATTACCTTTCCAGATGGTAATCTCTTTTTGGAGCTGAAAATCATCTGCCTTAGTCTTAGCAGAAGAGTTTGATTCAGACGAGTTAAGAGTCTCGTCTGAATCTGCAGTTGTCTTACCGTTAGTTTGTTCAGTTGATCCAGAAGGAGCAATAGGAATATCCTCAGTTAGAACGTGGGCAACCTTCTTCAAAGTTAAGAAAAAATTCATCTTAACTTGCCAACATTTGAAGTGAGAACCCTCAAACTTAAATGGTTTGTCAGAGACAGAAGCGGCCGCAGTAGTACCGATAATTTCCTTAGTAGCCATGGCAGTTACAAAAAATTGTCTTAACATTGTTGTTTTTCAGTTTTGAAAAAATTGCCACAAAGAAAATTATCAGGATGATTCGCGTACTAAGTCGCTTTCTTTAAGACGTTTTGTCGTACTGCCAAAGTTATGCAATGCAGTCACATTTCGACGACGTCTCCAAGATAAAACATCTCGTTCAAAAATACAATTATCACTTGCACTGTGATAACTTGTTCATAGAGATACACTTACAGATGGTGTTTAAACGACTCATATCTAAAAGTAATTTCAGTCGTCGATGGTGCGATAAACCACTCGTAAATCAGAAAAGAAAAAATTTAGATGAAGAGAATGAGAAGGTGAAGAGAAATTCCAAAAATGTTTAGAATACTCTTTTAGAGAGCCTTCAACTGATACAAGAGATTCAAGTTATATCCAAGGAACTGATATGATGGAGAGAAAATAGTGAGAGAGTGGAGAGAAAATAGTTGGAGGGGGTTATTCGGTCAAAAACTAGGTTAAGATTAAGTTTTGATGAGTAACTCATTATAATTAATAATTAATTAATATTAATAATTTAATTTCTACGTAATCAAATAAAATTAACTTTCATTAATTAATCGGATGACTCTTTTAAATTCACAACAAATTTTCCAACCGTTCTTACAACAACCACAACGGTAACGACAATTATGAACAATCTTCCCATAGATTTGATGAAAAATAAATCGTTGAATTTTTAGAATGAAAAAGTAAATACAGTCGATTATTAGCAATTTTTAATAACTTTGAGGAGAAAGAGATTGTTTCATACTCAAAAAAAACCTAAAACAAAAGGAGGAATTGTAAAAAAAAATGATATTTTAGTTTTTTTTTTTAATATATAATTTTTATTTAAAAAATAAAGGAGTCTCCATTATATATTGTTTCCTAGAAATAGAATATAGTATAATGTTAAAATTTTATGCTTTTTTAATTTATACAAGAAGGGGTAAAATATTTTAGTGGCGGTGGTTATGATTAATTGAAAGTATAAAAGATTTTTACAATATTGATTAAATTATATATATATAATTAAATTTTATATATATATATATATATATATATATATATATATATATATATATATATATATATATATATATATATATATATATATATATATATATATATATATATATATATATATATATATATATATATATATTCTCAGACGGAAAAATCAGATTCAGTTTTTGTTTGTTTTTGTTTGGGACTGGGAGTAGATTGGAGAAAAAAGGAAAAGATGATGATGGGTGACGAAGACGATGAGGAGGAGTATCAGAGGGCAGTGTTAGAACAAGTCTTTGGACCCTCAATCTCCGACGAAGACGACTGCGACGGTGGTAGATTAGATTCCGATTCCGATTCAGATATGGCGGAGCAGTATCAAAGGACAGTGTTAGAACAAGTGTTCGGACACTCATCCTCTGACGAAGACGACAACGGTAGATCTGATTCCGATTCCGATAATTGCAAAGAGAAGAAGAATTGGGAAAGTATCGAAGAAGTGAAAGGGTTATGGATATTAAGAAACTTCCTATCAGTTCATCAACAATCTCGCTTACTCTCATCAATCGAATCGGAGCAATGGTTCACACAGCCTTCAATCAACCAAGCAATGCGTTTCGGTTATCAAAACCTACCTCATTGGGCAATTAAACTCTCCAATTCAATTCTTCGTTCTTGTTCTTCGTCTTCTTCCCTTTTTCCACCAAATCTGTTGCAGAGGGAACCGTTGTTTGATCAAATGATAACAAACTTCTACCTACCAGGTGAAGGCATAACTCCCCATGTTGATCTCTTGCGGTTTGAAGATGCCATTGCTATTGTATCTTTGGAATCATCTTGTGTCATGCATTTCACTTCCGAGTCACAATCTGTTCCTGTTTTGCTTACTCCTGGTTCGTTGGTCTTCATGTTTGGAGATGCTAGGTATAATTGGAAACATGAGATTAATCGGAAACCTGGGTTTCAATCATGGAAGGGAGAATTGTTGAATCAAACCACACGTACCTCTGTTACCCTCAGAAAACTCTGTTCCCATGCTGCCCCAATTTAAAAATCAACTTTTTTTTCTTTTATTTCAATCAAATTAGTTTGTTTTGGGATGGTTTTCCACACATAATATGTGCAGTTGGATGTTTACTGTTGGACAAATCCAGAGTTTTTGTGTCATCAAGATGTGTAATTTTGGACTCATGAATAGATTTTGCCATATACCCTTTGAGATAAACTATTTTGATCACATAACTACTTTTTATTTCTTTCAACCAAATAGGTATTGTGTTTGTTTTTCTTCTTTCTTTGGTAGAGTTTGGCAAAGGAAAAAAGATAAGTAGAAGAAGAACATATCAAGTTCTCACAAACCGAGAACAAACAGTTAAAATGCTAAGAACTTGATTAGTTTTTTCATGAACTAAAACAACGTCAAACATTAGTAGCATCAAACTTGGCCATGAAACCAGCATAGGAGTCTCCTTCTCTAAGGCTGTGTAATCAGCATGACACTCCAGTACAATTGCAGCATTTCCTTCATATCTTGAATATTGGTTGCATTACTTGTGAAACTCAGAAGCAGCCTCTTTACAAGATTGACACAGCAGCGAAGCAGTGTAACACGAAACATGGGTGAACACCTGTTCCTGGCTGGATGAAGACATTGCAGAATGGCAAGCAGTTCAGCTATCACTATCTCGAGTTCCCTATGTAACCAGTAATTCGTGTCTGACTTCCCATCAGTGTATTGTTTGAAGAACAGTTTGATTATTCAAAATCAACTCAATTTGTCCCTTTTTCTTTTTAAATTTCAATGTTTATTAAGTATTCACGACAAATTTAATATTATTCTTACAAATGAATAAATAAAGAGCAATAATTTTTTTTAGCTATCCTATTCTATTCTGTGTTGTTTGTTTTGGTGCCCATGGCAATAAAATTGACGCTTATATCATCAGATAAAGACCATCTTCCTGTTACCGGGTTATATGTGAATCCCGCCATCTCCTCCACCTATGCACAACCAGAAACAAGATAAGAACAAAATAGATGATGAAAAGGGTCTTGTTTATCAGTTTATGAATTGACGTCTGTTGCTTACATTGATGCCGGCACGTTGCAGGATCAGAACTAACTCCTCTGGAGTAAGAAAACTTGACCATTCATGTGTGCCCATTGGAAGCTGCCATGTTTCAAACATAATATGTCACATTGATGGCCACTTTATTCTAAATTTGCATCATAACAGATACTTCTTTGTGTACTCTCTCTATCAATATTTTATCAATGCCTAAGAGCCTTTGTTATGTTGATTACAATCTTAATGTTTTTTTTTTAATATAACGTGTGTGCCAAGATAGATATTATAAAGTAATGAAAAGTAACAAATTTCAGGGATAAGGTACTAACTAAGGTAGAATTAAAACATTAGAATGAACTTGAGAAAAATAAAATACCCAGCGAAGAATGTATTCTGCAGCAACAATGGCAGTTGCATAAGCTCTCATTGAACGATTTATTGTCGATATGATGGTAGCTCCATCTGGGATTGTTAATGCTGCAAGAGATTTGCAGAACTCTGCAGGTTCCACTACGTGCTCGATCACCTGGGAAAAAATGCACTTCAAATCAATGGTTAAGGAACTTAGGTATCATTATATCTCAGTACTAGGAACTGTGTGTGTTAAAACCCAGGTTCATGTAACCCAATATGCAAAAGTGAGCACACAACCACAAGAAGGGGCATAAAAAAAGTACCTCCAAGGCCATGACTGCATCAAATTTTCTTCCTTCTTCAACTAGCTTCTCTGATCAGTCATTTTGAAAAATTATTAAAAATTGTGAGTTAAAAAATACCATGCATAATACCCTAAAACAGAAGGATAACTCTAAATAAACTAAATTTTATGTAAGCTATTTCTACAAATGATATCCAAAACCATAACCAGGGTTTAATATTTTACACGAGGCACGGGTGTATAATTTTCACAGGCATGTTGCCAAGAAAGAGATTGGAACGACAGCACAAGTGAAAACATGAAAAGTTACAAGCATAGGAAGGAATAGAGACATGTATGTGACCATCTTTATTTGGTAAAGAATGTGACTATCTTTTGAATTGGAAATTTATTCTCCTATTTGGGCAGTTTCATACCTAGAAGTATCACACGTTGTTAGATGAGAAACACTGCAGGATAGAGAAAGTTATTTCTTCACTGTAAAACCGTACTAAGACAAATTAGATCAAAGTACAAATAAAGGTTTTCTTAACAGTCAACATTCTGTTTTTGACCTCTCCACAACTAAAGATAGATTCTAAGTTAGCATAAATAACATAAATTGGTTATTTATTGCAAGTTGCAGCAAGAAGTTAAGAACCAGAATCACAAACACTACTACTGACTACCAAGTGAAAGATGATTTGTAGAATAATATTGGATCATTTTGGTGCCAAAGCATCTTAACTTCAAAACTTTCTCAAACTCTAAACTATATGGCCAAAAAGGACCCCAACCTATGGAAAGACTACTTTAAAAATTAGGTAAAAGGAAATTTACACTAGTCGGCTTTGTACTTGTTACCAAGATTGTGAACCAAATTATTAGATTAGGAAAAGTAGGGCAGGCGGTAATAGTCACAAGTGGGATAGCTTCCAAATGGAAACAGATTTGAAGAATGCACACCGTGGATGTGAAACAAAAGTACTCAAGAATATTTGTCTCACAGTTAAGATTTGCATCTTACCAGCTGTTGTGCAACAAAACTCAATACTTGAAGTTGCTGGATCTGATTCCTGTGGACAGGGAACAGTAAGTGATTCAGCTAATAGTGAAGATATAATGAACTAAATTTACTTAATACTATTAGTTAATATAGTAAATTCAAGTATTCAACATCTGCTTCCACCAATTAACAGCAATCTAATCAATTTGATAGGAATGTACGGACAAATTTAATATTGGAAACAACTATTACTAAAAACCAATAGTCTACTAGTACACTAAGCATACAGCATGAAGTCGAGCAATGTTGATATTCTTTTCCACAGCATCAATACCCGTCACAGTAGCTCCCATCCGAGCTAATGGCTGAAACAAAGGAGATCCATAAGTAAAAATATCAATAAAAATAGCATTTTGCAATTAAACACAATTAACATTCTTAATACTCTGCAAAAGAGAGGCAGGAGAGTACACATCAAAGAAAGGATTTATATTCTACATATCAAGCTAACAAATATAGCTATGAACACATCACTATGCTACATATTCCTACGAGGATCATTATAAAAAGGGAAAACGTCTTTTTTCAAACAAGAAAAAGGAGAAAATGTATACCTCGGAAAGAATTCCACCTCCACATCCCACATCAGCAATTTTAAGTCCTTCAAGGGGCTTAGCACTGTAAGGGTCCTTCCTGAGACAAGGGACATTTAATTACTCCAAATAATACCCGAAAGAGACAATACAAATTATGCATAGGAACTTGTTAGATTGTTATAGATTGTGGAAGGCCAAAAATCCACTATTTTAAGCTGTCATTTCACACCGTAAACGTCATGGAACCGCTATCCCTCACAAATTGGTCATAAAGCAGTTGGCCAAAAATGATCCATGGTGGCTATTTGATAACACCATTATTATCAATAATATCTATTTTCCTTTTGCTTCTCTTATCGTTTCCTCATTTGGTTTACTTAAAAAAAAAACATTTGTGACTCTTATCGCTGATAAATATTTCACAAGAGTTATCTAGGTTGTTAGTATCGGATGGTGGCACATAGCGCCAAACCACCAAATACATAGCGGATAGCAGGATTACCGTTATTGTGATGACTAAAAAAATGTACATATTAGGTCAATAAAAGGGTGGTAAAGACCAACATATTCTAAGAAAAAATTAAAAACTGCGCTTCAAAATATTAGGGTTTACAAATTTGTCTAAAATTAAAAATTGCGGCCATTAAACCGCTGCTATGCTACGAAACCGCTATTCGCGGCCGTTATGACTGCTGTCGTCAATAGCGCTTCGCAGGCCAATAGCGTAGCGGTGGGGGGCGTGCTGCTATGCTATGCCGCTATAGCAGTGCTATGGTGCACTATTGACAACCTAGACTTATATCACTCACTAATTGTTGGCACTAAACCAGATTTTGAACGTTGTATTAGTGTCACAATTATCGAGTTCAAGGGATTCAATAAGCTATAACAGCTACAAAAATGACAGTTCTATCTCAGACAGCATAGCAAGTTAGGTTTGGTGCATAAAGGCAACAAAATTAGCAACAGTGACTTACAATTCGCTAAATTCCACGAGTAAACGAACGGAATTACACATCATACCAGATTCAAAATGGAAGTAACAAAAAGAAATAAGAGCTAACAAAAGAATTGAAAAACACAAACATAAAAGAGGTTGCTTACTTGAAATGTCGACACAATGCAGACCGAATGAAAGCAACTCGTGTAGGATTCATCACATGTAATGGTTTAAAGGGGCCATCAAAATCCCACCTATTTTACACACATCAAGAAAAGGAAAAATATAAACATCATTCATATTTTCTTACTATAACAACCACCTAAATAAATCCATAAGCTTTCAATTCGTATGGTTCCTACACGTTAGTTGAAAAGATAGTAAATTTCATAATCTCTAATTGCAAAAATAAACGCCCAATTCCGAATTCAGTTTTGCTTAATTAATTAAGGATTTTCGTGTAGACCAATCAGAAGTAAATTGAGAGCTCTCACCAGGATTCGGCAATGGCGGCGAACTTGGCGAGTTCATTGCGGTTCAAGGAAGAAGGAGGCGAAGGTTGTTGAACGTGTGGAGTGGTGGATTGTTGCGGCGATGAAGCATCGGAGAAGAAGTTGGTGTTGTTGAAGAGAGGGTGAAATCGATTATGGAGAATGCGGTGGTGAGTGTTTAGGGTTCGGAGATGGTTGAAGAGTTTCATTGTTTCGCGGGAAAGTGCAGTGGTTCTTCTTCTCTTTTGCAATTAAGCTTTCTGGGTTATAATCATGGCTTCAAAATTTAAAATAAATATTTTATTTCTTTGAAATTATAAAGCTAGGTTAATTAAGTCTTTAAAATTGGAAAATAATAATTTAGAGTCACATTTACGTAAGAAGTAAAATGTGGTTGCATAGTCCACAGTAGATACTGAACATAGAGCAATGGTTGGATTAAACAACTTTTTCATGAATTAAAATTTAAAGATATTCAGGAGTTTTGGATTATAAAATAAATTAGAATATGTTTAGAAGATTAATAATTAATTAAATTATTGGTAAATTACATTTATGTATTGAGGAACTACAAACAACATTTAGTGTATGTTTGTTTTAATTTTTGGAAGAATCAAAAGCAATTTTTAGAAGTGTATAATCGACTTTGATATAATTTTAAAGTGTTTTGTTCTTTTAAAGTTGAATTGATTTTGTCTTTAGAATTGATTCTCCTTTAAATTAGAATTTATAAATTTTGAATTTAAACATGATTTGTACATCAAAATGTACTATTCAATTCATTTTTACATAAATTTATTCAAACATAAATTACTTTCTTTAATTGACTTTTAACTAGAATCAATTTTACATAATCAATTCTTTAAATTTGTACAAGAAGAGAAAGAGATTGTGCATGTGAATGTCTTACTATGAAGTTTCAATATCAACCACATATTTAAATTTAATGGCTGAAATTGGTTCATCACATTCTCATATAAGATAAGACACGATCAGTGGATAACAATCCAAAAGAACCAAAATAAAGAAAGGGAAATAGATTATCATAACCCTAAACAAAAGCAAGATATTGGAAAATAAACCATTTAAGAAGAAAATCGGACATAGATAGCCAAAACACGACAACCATTATCCTAAGCGGGAAACAACACACCCTCAAGGCATTATTAGCTTAGGTGGAGGAATGATTTCACCAACCACTCATGGAAAGTGAAAGATTAGTCAGAAGTCTTACTGATATAGCATTTTTCAAAAATGGAAGATGCATATATCCATTAACTCATCAATTGTCATAGGCATACCGAAAAGATAAGATTGGTTTGGAATTCCAAAATAACCTACACCAAAGAATGTCAAATCATGATCATGCTAATTGTAACACCCCAAAATTAATCGGAATATTTTAATTAATTATTTAATTGAGAATATTCGTATTTTGGTGGTTTTCGGTGGTTATGTGGATTATTGGGAATAATGCATTTTTGGGCTATCTTTAATTAATAGTATACTATATGAGAATATTAGTATTATTATTGATTAAAATGAATATAAGTGAAATAAGGGTAAATTGGGCATTATGAGGAGTTAGTAAGGGTGTCATGGGAAAAGTCCAATTGTGTGGCCCAAGTCTAAGTTTGACAAAATAGAATTATGAAGGTTTAGGATTCATTTTTGTTAACCATGAAAAGAATGTAGGTCAGAGCTCTGAGGAGGGAGAAGTGGAGGCAAAAGCTTCGGAAAATCCCGGAGATAATCGTGAAAGCTTTGAATCGGGTAAGATATGGGGAGTATAGCTTTTCATGATTATCCATGTATATCCTTTCGATGTGTTTATGGTTGATTTAAGATTTAAGGTATTTTGGGTTGATTGTGAGAAAATTAGGGGAATTGATGATAAGACTTTGAGGTTATGGCTAGTGGTGTGTATCACTGAATATTTGATATGAGGATTAGGAAACGTTAGGCCTTTTGGCCGAAACCTTAGATTATTATATGTCTGACCATAATGGATAGGGATATGTGATATGAGAAATCATGATGCCTTCAGGGAAATTGTAGGGAAATTGTGATTTAGGACATGAATATGTTCCGGGATTGGCCTAATAAACCGTAGGTTTTATGCCTTTATCGCCGTAGGACCTTAGGGATGAGTTAGGGATGTTTTGGGGGCATTGGGTAAGTGAATCGTATGAGTATTTGAGTGAAAATTTGTTCTGGTGCGTAGCAGATTTTGCTGTCATCGCATTGTTCGCCTAGCGAACCAGGTATTCCCAGACTCACCTAGCGAAGAAACTCGCCCCATATTTGCCGAGCAAGCACGCCAGCGAACGTAGCAGAGTTCGCGAATGTTGATTGTGTGCAGCGATGCTTTGGTGTTCGATTCTGAGATTTCTGCGATGAGTTAACATGAGTATGACAATGAGGTTTATGTGATTAATAGGTGATAGTAGAAGGATTACCGCGAGTATAATTTGATGAATTAGTATGAGATAATATGTGATAATATGTGATAATATGTGATAACATGATAGATTAATGTGAATATGATTGTGAGTGTTATGTGATTTGTACATGATTATATGATGATTTTTATGATGTGTGGTGATGATTATTATGATGGAATTATATGATGATATGATGTGTGATGATGATTATTATGATGTGTTATGACGACGTAATGTATGATGATGATTATGATGATGAGCTATGATGTTTGATGATGATGAATATGATGAATGATGATGCACCTATGATGTTATTATGAGGATGATTTGTGACGTGTGCATCATGCATTCATGTGCATCTGGACTTCGGTTCAGGACCTCGATTACTTTGGCTTCAATCCCACTGTGTGGATGTGAAGTATTTTGATGTGCTCCGGTTCTCTAGTAGAATCGATCCTATTGATGGGGATCTATGGAGGGTTGATGTCCCAGTGTCCATCGCGCTGTGATGATTGGTACCACATGCATTGAGTCTATGTTGCATTTGCATTTATGAGCCTTTTTGTATAAATTATGACGTTGTGGCCTTCGAGGCATATTTGAGGAATATGAATGTGTTGAATATAATTATAATATCGTTTATACATTAATTGTTATACATTGATTATTATGAATTGTTTTACTCACCCTGCCTGTTTGAATGTTACCTCCACGTGGGTAACGTGCAGATGACCAGGTTTAGCTGTGGATGCTGTTGATGAGTTATTTTTTGAAGTTTTAGAGTCGTTAGCCTTTATGGTTAACTTAGAGGGTCTTGCTCTGATATGTAATATCGGGTTGGGTTCCTTGGATTAAATTTTATACCGTTGAGTTATTTTGCTAACTTTCCCTTATGAGGAAAAACCTTGATTTATGCTTTGAGCTCCGCTGTTTTATGTTACTTGATGTATTTTGGGGAAAATCCGTAGTTACGGAGTATTGACCTATTTTGATGACATTGAGAAATATACGCCCTTTTGGTGGCTTTTTATTGAGATTTATTTATTTACTCTAAAATCTGTGTAATTTTGCCATGATAATTGTGGGGTAGAAAAGGGTGTTACATTAGTGGTATCAGAGCAGGTCGGTCTGTCCGGCCAAGTGTCTAATGTTCTTTGTTCCCTTGTATGCGACATGTGTGTGAAAACAATATCGGTACATGTTTGTGTTCTAACCTTTGCCTACAGTTGTAGGAATGGAACAAGTGGGGGAGAAGTTGTGCTTCTCCAGGATGCTGCAAGTGTATAGTGGCGGCTCAGTGTGTAGTTGAACGCTCTTATAGTTTGGTAAAGATGGTTTATATCCCATCATGATTTTCACCTGTCTATTGACAACTTGAGGGACTGATCACCCTTAATCTCTTGTTGATAGTGGACGGAGTCATGTTGGATGGGATAGACTTGTCTTGCAAGCTTAGATGGCGTGAGCAGTAAATTGCTTTCGGTTAAGCTAAGTGCTTACAAATGGTTTTGATAAGTCGGTGCAGGATGGTGTCGAGATGTTTATTTTTGATGGAAACTGTGAGTGTTGATGAAAGTGGGGAAGTTTGTGGGTTGCTAATTAATTGTTATTGTCCGGAGGTTTTTCCTGATGAGATAAGTGATGTACTACCGGAATGTGAGGTGGAGTTGCGATCGACTTAGTTCTTGGAACTAGTCCGGTATTGATGGTTCCATGTTGTGTGTCTGCATTGGGATTAAAAGAGTTGAAGAGTCAATTGGAAGAATTGTTTTGAGAAGAGATTCTTTTGTTCGGGCGTGTCACCGTGGGGTGCACCAGTTTTATTGATTATGAAGGAAGAAGGTTCTGTAAGGCTTTGTGTGGATTATATACAAGTGAACAAGGTGACTATCAAGATAAGTGTTCACTTCCAAGGACTGATGATTTAATGGTTCAATTGGTTGTTGCAAGTGTGTTCGGTAATATGGATTTGAGATCTGGGTATCATGAGATTCGTGTGAAGGCTGAAGATAGTCAGGAGACTGCTTGTAAAACAAGGTTTGGACGTGATGCGTATTTCGTAGTACCATTTGGGGTGACTAAGGCACCATGTGGGTTTGTGGAGTATATGAATGGGATTTTTTCCGTACTTATTTAAGCGAGTTGATGGTTATATTAATCGACGATATTTTGGGTTATTCGAAGAGTAAAGAGGATCATGCTGAGCATTTGGAAATTTTGTTATCAGTGTGGAAAGGGAAGCAGTTGTATGCAAAATTGTCAAAGTGTGAGTTGGTTGGAGGAAGTAAGTTCCTTAGTCATGTGATCTCAAGTAGAGTTATTGTGGTTGATATGTCGAAGGTTAAAGTTGTATCACAATGGGAAGCCCCAATAACCTGTATTTGAGATTAGAAGTTTTCTTGGGTTGGCAGATTGTTATTAGAATTCATTGAAGGATTTTTCCAAGTCATCTTTGCCATTGAAGCAGTGGAATAGGAAGGTTCCAACTTTTGTTTTGGGATGCAAAGAATGAAGAAAAGTTGCAAGAGATTTTGAGAAGACTAACAACAGCTCAGGTTTGATTTTGCCGAATCCGACAAAACCATTATGGTATATTGTGATTCTTTGTTGATGGGATTGAAAGATATGTTAGTGCAACGTCAACAAGTTTTAGCTTATACTTTAAGGAAACTTAAAGAGCATAAGGGGGATTATCTGACGCATGATTTAGAGTTGGTTGTTGTTGTGTTTGTGCCGAAGCTTTGGAGGTATTATTTGTGTGGTTC